TTGAGTAACGTACGTTCCTTCCCGTCCCTCCTCCCCCCCCCCCCCCCTTTTTTCCCGCAGCCACCTGGCGGCCACACGCAGGCGTACTTGGGATACACAGGACACCCCTACCCCCATGCGCCGCAGCAAGTGACGCTTGTCTATCTGATACGGGTACAGTCCAGGTGGGGCGTCTCTACACCCCGTTGTAGGCGTAGTACCCCCCCGTCCGGACCGCCCCGAACTCGCTCGCCCCAGCCCATTACTCGGGATCCAGTCAGGCGGGCGGCCAAACTGTATGGCGTGGCGGTGGTGGAGAAGGAAGTCGGTGGGGCAAGCTGCCGCGTGGACCACATGCAATAGCAGTACTCACCCACAAGCCACAACATACTGCTGCGTGAACATGGTGGTATGTGTACAGACGGTGCACCAGATGCTGGAGTACTGCCTCGGGCTGACCCACAATGGTGCGACAGACGGGTCGGACTCGTGTGACGACCTGACCGATACCACGGCCGGGACTGACGGGGCCGGCCCGGTCTCGCCGAGGTGGGCAACCGGGCGGCGGCGGAGCTCGTCGCTCGGGGCCAAGAACGCGCCGTCGGGCCTCCGCCCGTCGACGGTCTCGGCCGATGAGTCGTCAGGCTCGGCGGTCTCGGCGCAGGCCTTTGCGTTTGACGACGACGATTTGCTGCAAGAGATGGAGTCTGAGGCTGCAGCCACGTGCTCGTCCGACTCGTCGGGCGCGGACCTGCCCAAGTCTGTGCAGAAGCGGCTGAAGAAGGAGCGCGAAAAGGCCGAGAAGCTGGCGCGCAAGGAGGAGAAGCGCAAGCTCAAGGCGCAGCGCAAGCAGGAGAAGCAGTTGGAGAAGGCGCGCCGCTCTTCGCGCCGCTCGCTGCTCAAGGGCCTGGAAAAGGCGACCGAAAAGGTGGAGCACTCTCCGGAGAACATGGCCACCTTTGCGCGCGTCTCTTGTGACGTGCTCACGTGCGGCGTCGCCGAGCTCTTCACCGCCTTTAACAACATGAAGACCCGCAAGTACCTCTACGGCACGCTCTTTTCGTTCCTCTCGAAGAACACGGTTGATGCCACACAGACATCCTACTTTACCCGCATCGTGTACGCACTGCTGCAGTGGCGGACGCCGCAGACCCTGGTGTTTATGAAGCAGCATCCGCGGTTTGTTGAGCGGGTCGTCCACCACATCGAGGCTCCTGGCATGGTCGACCTGCTTCTGGTCATCGCCAAGTGTGGCAACACGTCGGGCACTCTCGACTGGCTTGCAGACTGCCACCTCGTCCCGCGGCTGCTCGAGCTGCTGGAACCGGCCTACGCCGATCGGGTCTGTGTCACGCTCCGCAAGCCGGCAACCGCATCGGCGCTCGGCAGCTCGGCATCGGCATCTGGTGAGCTTGCAGCTACCGACAAGTCCGCAGCCGCTAGCACCTCGTTCACATCACCGTCGGGTGAGGTAACGGTCAAGACCTTTCCCGCCGACGTCGAGCTCAAGGACGTGCTCGCCGCCTTTGACATTCTCTCTGGCTACGCCGTCGATCAGGTCGCCGAGTCTGCTGTTTACACCGACGGCCCGCTCCCGGTTGGCCCGTACGTGGTCATCCCGGGCGCGGCGCCGGTCGAGCAGACAGGCGAGAAGCCGACACTCCCGGCAGCAGCCTCGCGCCGGGCGCGGCTCTCGTCGCTCAACCTGGACCTCGACTTTGACATGCGCAAGCTGGAGCGGGTGCAGGGTAACCGAGCGCGCGCCGATGCCATGGACGAGAACGCGCTCTCCATGATGCACACCAACGTGGCTCGGGTCCTTATTGGGCTGGTTCAGCTGCTTGAATCGTCCCCCGACGACGGCGACTCGATGCTGGCCACCTCGCTCCACGACCCGTCCATTGGCCGCCTTCTCCTCACCAACATTTTCTGGGGCGCCTACCTCGGTGGCGAGTCGCTCTCGGCCTTTACTTACGGCCTCCACGTGCTCACGGTTCTCCTTAACCAACTTGTGGCCAACCTCGACTCGATCTACGTCGCCGCACCGGCAGACACCGGGCCGGCAGGCGGGGCCAGCCACGGCCGGGGCGAAGCCGGATCGGCGCGAGACAAGGCCAAGAGCAAGGCCAAGGGCAAGGGCAAGAGCCGCAAGGCCAAAGGTCGCAAGGTCCACGGCAGCGACGGAGCTGATGACGCCAGCACTGGATTGGACTCGTCGTCAGCCTCGGGTCTCGACTCATCGTCTCCCGAGGCCTGCTCGTCGGACGCCGGCGGGCTGGTCACCACGCTGCGGTCGGCGACGACGTCTGACGACGGCGACGCAAGCTCCGGCTCGGACGCCCAGTTTTTCCCGCCGGGTCTCGAGGTGCTCGCCTTGGTCGAGTCCAGCACCCTGCGGTCGCGCGAGGAGCTCACGCCGCTTCTGCGGGCCATCCACGACATGCTTGACGACTTTTTCATTCTGCTGCTGCGGACCGAGACGCTTGCGGCGCTGGAGACGACAACTGGGCTCCTGGATCCGCCGCTAGGCTCGACTCGGCTCAAGGTGGTGCGGTTCTTCTGCCGGCTCCTCCACACCCGGGCGCCGCTCATCGAGTTTGAGATCATGCGCCGCGGCATTCTCAACGAGTGCGTCGAGCTCTTCTTCCACTACGAATGGAACAACTTTCTGCATCTGACTGTGTCCGAGATGGTGCTCTGCGTCTTGCAGTCGCCGTCGGAGCCGATTGTCCAAGCCCTGCTCACCTTTACCAAGCTGCACACTCGGCTACTCGATGCTGTCGATGGCAACGCCGCCGACCAGGCCCAGCCACTCGGGTGTCGCCGTGGTTACATGGGCCATGTCACCCTCATTGCGCTGCACCTCTCGCACGCACTTCCACTTGCGGACATGCTCCGCGAGTGCGACCGCTGGATGGCGTATGTCGACGGCGAGCTGCAGTCAACGTCTGACGTCAACACCAACAGCATCTTTGGTGTCGAGTACGAGTCGCTCAAGTCCAAGCGCCAGCTCATTCTCGAGGGCAAGCTCTCGCCTGCTCAGGCGGCGGCGCAGGTCGAGGCTGAGCGCAACCTCCGCGAAGAGTCGGACAGACAGACTGCAGCTGCAGCTGCGGTTGCTGCTGCTCCGGCAGACACGTCGGGCAAGGACGCGGCTCCGGCCGCCAAGGCCGGCGCGGGCGAGGCGGCGGGCGATGACACCGGCACGCCGACAGCCGCCGATGCTGCCGCCACGTTCTCGACCCTCATTCCGCCGCCGGAGGATGCGCCACCGCCGCCGGTCCCGACGCCAACCGACCCCGCAGCTGCGGGGTCGGAGAGTGCTCCCGGCGCCGACAGGGCGGGTGCTGCCGACGGCGAGAATGCTGCTTCCAGCAGCACCGCGGCCGCGACTGCGGCCGCGGGAGCCGTGGTAGCTGCAGGAGCAGCGGCCGCTGGCAAGGACGGCGACGATGATGCTGGAGCGTCGTCGTCGGGATCGACGTCGGAGGCTGCAGACCTCTCTGCTGGCGGCGGTGCTGGCGAGAGCAGCGGGCGGACCGGCGAAGCGGACGGCGGCGTCGACGGCGGTGAGGTTGCGGCTGACGACGCGGCGGCCGAGACATCGGCCATTCTCGACTCTGAGTCTGACGCGTCGGTGATGCTTGTCAACAAGAAGAACGACATCTATGGCGATACGGCACTGCACGTGGCCGCGGCAACCCGCAAGGTCGGGGTGGTGGACCTGCTTGTGGCACGCGGAATGGACGTCAACGCAACGAACAACTCGGGCTACACGCCTCTCAACCGGGCCTGCTGCATCTCGCAGGTCCTGCTCAAGGACATGGACTCGCGCAACGAGCTGCAGCAGGTGGTGCGGCTGTTGCTGGAGCACGGTGCCGATCCGGAGCGTCCCAACCGCAAGCAGCAGACGCCGCTCGACCGCGCGGCACACTACGGACACAAGGACGTGGTGCAGACGTTGCTCGAGGCGCAGCCGGCGACGGCGGTGAACACCAAGGACATGATGGGCATTTCGCCGCTCTACCGCGCGCTCAACAACGAGCGAACCGACATTGCCGGGCTCCTGTTCTCGGCCATGGGCGGCATCGGCTCGCCTCTGCCGTCGGGCCTGGTGGCGTTGCTCGACGATCCCGACCACCGGTCGATGCTGGCGGTTGATGTGCGCCCGCTGCTGGCAGTCGGTGCGTATGTCGAGCTTAACAACAAGGGCATCACGCTGGCGTCGCTCCGCGAGCGCGGGCTGCTCACCCGCGCCGCCGACGTCTCGGCGCTCATTTACGGGCCCGACGGCGCCGGTGGCGGACTCTCGGCCATCGAGATCAAACGGGTGCTGGCGGCGGTAGACGCCGCACTGGCGCCCGAGGAGCTTGCTAAGGTGCCCGCCGAGGCTGTCGAGGCGGCGCGTGGCGAGATGATGGCGCTGCGCGACGTGGTGGCCCTCGCGGCGACCCAGTGCGCGGCGGCGGACATGGTGGTGGCCATGTCGCAGGTCGCCGACGTTGGCGAGCTGCACGTCTCGCTCCCGCCCGCCGTCGCATCCACATTCCAGGCGCCCGACATCGGTCTGAAGGCCGAGGCTGTGGCTCAGACTGACGCACTCCGGCTGGCGGTCCTCGCGCACTTTGCGGCGGCACACCACGGCATCGCGGCCATCCCGCCGGGCTTTATCGAGCGCGCGCAAGAGGCGTCGTCCAAGTCGGCGTCGTCCAAGTTCAAGCGGCCACGCGGCGTGACCCATCCGCCGGTCCGAGCCCTCGACTCATCGTCAGACTCTGACGGCGAGAGCGGAAGTGGGAGCGGCGGCGTCCGCACTGGCAACGGGCGCCGGGCGTCGACGCTCGACTCGTCGGACTCGGAGCTGTCGGACTCGACCGACAGTGAGTCTTCGTCGGACAGCAGCGCATAGCGCTCGCGTGTGTTTGGTAAAGGCACTCGCTTTGCAAAAGAGTTGGTTTACGTGGTGAACTCAACTGAACCGAGCCGAGCAAGCACTACAGCTTGATGCACACCGTTTTCTGCTCGGTGTAGAATTCGAGCGAGTACTCGCCGCCCTCACGGCCGACGCCCGAGTGCTTCTGCCCGCCAAACGGAACGCGCAAGTCGCGGACGAGCCAGCAGTTGATCCAGACAGTTCCAACGTCGAGAGCCTGGGCCACAGTGTGAGCGCGGGTGAGATCGGAGGTCCAGACCGAGGCTGAGAGGCCATACGCGACGGCGTTGGCGTCAGCAATGACGGCGGCAGCACCGGCGTCTGCGGATGAGTCGTCAAAGCGGATGACGCCGACGACGGGACCAAAGATCTCCTCGTTGTTGCAGCGCGCACTCATGTCGAGGCCAGTGACGACGGTGGGAGAGACGTAGTAGCCGTCGGCGAGATGGGACGGAATATCGGCCGGTGGGTCAGGCCCGCCTGCGGCCAGAGACCCGCCCTCCTCGACCGCCAGCGCAATGTACGAGAGCACCTTCTCCTTGTGCTGAGCCGAGACGAGGGCGCCGAGGTTCGACGCGGGGTCGGCCGGATCACCGGTTTTGAGAGCGGCGACGGCGGCGAGGAACTTGGCCATGAATATGTCGTAGATAGAGTTTGCGACAAAGAGGCGCGAGCCGCAGAGGCAGATCTGGCCTTGATTGGCGAACGAGGCCTTGACTGCACCGGCGACGGCGGCGTCGATGTCGGCGTCGGCAAAGACGATGTTGGCGTTCTTGCCGCCTAGCTCAAGCGAAAGCTTCTTGACATGCGGGGCGGTGGCCTTGGCGATGCGCTCGCCGGTGGCGGTGGAGCCTGTGAACGAGACGAGTGGGACGTCCGGGTGTGCGACGAGCGGGCGCCGGCACCGGGCCCGTCGCCAAAGACCATGTTGACGACGCCCGGCGGAATGCCGGCCTCGTTGAGGATGTCGCAAAGGAGAAAGGCGGTGAGCGAAGTGAACTCGGACGGCTTGCACACGCATGTGTTGCCTGCGGCGATGCACGGCGCAATCTTGAAGGAGAGTAGGTAGATGGGCAGGTTCCAGGGCGAGATGAGGCCGGCGACGCCGACAGGCGATGAGACGGTGTAGTTGACGGCCGGACCGGGCGGCCCGTCGATTACGGTCGACTTGTCCGTCGCATGCAGGATGGCGGTGGCGAAGAAGCGGAAGTTGTGCGCCAGCCGCGGGATGTCGACCCGTGCGGCGAGGGCCACGGGCTTGCCGTTGTCATAGCTCTCGGCGGCAGCAAAGGCGGCGGCACGTGCGTCGACCAGCTCTGCCACCTTCAGCAGAAGCTGCGAGCGGGTGGCAGCGGGCGTGGCGGCCCAAGCTGGAAAGGCGGCCTTTGCCGCCGCCACGGCCGCCTCCACGTCCTCCTCCGTCGACGCCGCCAGCTCGCCGTACGCCTTGCCTGTGGCCGGACAGAAGTTGGCCATGTACTCTCCGCGGGCCGGCGGGCAGACCTTGCCACCGATAAAGTTGTCAATGCGGGTGGCGTCGAACGCCGGCGAGCATCCTGTGGCCGGCGGTGCGGCGTGTGCGTTGTCAGCCATGGCTGGTAGTGGTAGTGGTGGTGGTGGGGAGGGGGGCGGAGACGAGTGTGCGGTGGGCAGCAGGGGGGCGATGCGATCCGACGTGGCGTGTGTGGCACACGGTGTGTGTGTGTGTGTGTGTGGAGGGATGCATGCGATGGCCATTGCAGTGCCTGTCTCCTGTCTGTGTCGGGATGCTCCGACCAGCGAAGACTGGCTTCACAGGCACTGATGGACATGGCCATGACACAGCTGATATCAGAGCCATGACACACAACACACACACACACACACACACACACACACTCTCTCTCTCTCTTTCTCTCTCTTTGCCTCTTCATCGTCTTGCATCATTATCACTACCTGCCATACTGTGACCTTCACTGTGTGGTGTGACCTCAGATGGACCCCCCCCCCCCCCCTCCCCCTTCCCCCCCTTCCTCCTCTCCCCTCCACTCGACTCGTGTGCGATGGGCAACTCATCATCGTCCACTGCCGAAGTCTTCACCTCCAAGGCTTCAGCAAAGCACATCCATACCTCGCCCCTTGGCCTATTTACCACATACAAGGAAAAGGATGGGTACGTCGTCCTCCCCTTCCCCCTCCCTCCCCTTCCCCCATCCCCTTCCCAGTCATTCCTTGCCTTTCGCTGCCTTCCGCTGCCTTGCCGCATTCGCATGTGCCACTCACCCTGCCCTTCCCCCCGCCCCCCCCCCCACCGCCCCGCCCCTCTTCAGCATCTTCCTGGCGGGAAAGCTGTTCATCCTGTGGGCTGCTGACGATCGTATCGTTGCCCCCTCGCTGTCACCCAAGGACGAACGCCCGCTGTTTGGCATGCTGATCTTGCTCGAGGCCGCAGCATCGCCTGCCATGTCGCTTGAGGCTGCGCGAAGGATCGTCGACGTTGCCGGGCGTTCCATGCCTGGGCCGGACGTCCCGCTTCACATTCTCATCGAGGCCGAGTTGTACGATGTGCTGGCGGCAGTGATGACCCATCGTCATGCGCCGCATATGTACTGGTCGGACGATGCGCCAGAGATCGTGACGGTCTCGGACGGCATGGGGGCGAGCTCGTCGAGCCAAGCCAAGAAGCGATCCAAGAAGGAGCTCAAGGGCAAGAAGAAGCAGGCCAAGAAAGGCCGCGTGGGATACATTGATCTGAAGCTAGACAGGGAGGACTCGCGGAACATGCTCCCGCTGCAGCTGGCTGTCATGCGCGAGGCCGTGCCCGCGCTCGACGCGCTGCTCGCCGGCGGCGCCAACATCAGCGCGGCGAACAGCACCGGTGAGACCGCACTGCACATGGCTGCGAGCACGCGACGCGTTGTTTCGATGGTATCACTCTTGCTTGACCGCGGCGCGTCGCTGGAGAGCCGCAACGCGGTTGGAAACACGCCGTTGATGTGTGCGCTCGAGACCGGCAACGCCAGCGCAGGAAGGTTAATCTTCGAGGCTGGCGGGCCGGCGCTGCTGGCGTCGACCAACTCGATCGGGCTGAGACCACTGCATGTGGCCGCCCTCTCGGGCTCGGTCGACGTGCTTAACATGGTGCTGGACGCCGGGTGTGATCCCAATGCACCGGCAACCGGAGAGTGCGAGGGGCTGACTCCCCTGCAGGTCATGGTGGCACCTAGCATGTACATGGGGGGCTCGTCCTCGTTCTCACTTTCTGTCGCGAGGCAACTGCTTGCCCGTGGCGCCGAGGTGGCGATCGTCGCTGGCGAGGCGTCGTCGAAGGGCATTGTACCGACAGTCGAGGGCGATACGCTGGCACATCTCGCGGTGCGGGTGTCGAACCTGCCGGCGCTCCGCTGGCTCCTTGTCGACTACCCGGGCTTGTTCACAATGGTCAACTCGCTCGCGCAGGTCCCCCTTCATGCTGCGGTCGAGGGTGGGCGAACTGATGCCGTTTGGGTTCTCTGTGCCATCCCGCTCGACCAGGACGTCGGCCTCCATGTTGTGGACGCCAACGGCAATACCCCAGGTGCGATCGCCCTCGCTCGCGACGACATGCGCATGATGTACCACATCCAAACGCGCCACATTGCGCTACTCGATGCGCAGCTCAGCGAGCTTCGTGTCACGTCGCTTGTCAGTCACACTCCTGTGGCTCCCTCGGTTCCGGCGGCGTCGTCGGCCTCGGCCTCGGCGTCCCCATCGGCCCCTTCGTTAAGCCTGGTCGCCCTTCACGCCGACCGCGACCACGCCCTTGTCCGCGTCTCGGCTCTTGAGCGCGAGCTGGCGGCGGCGCAAGCCGAGCTCGAGGCTCTCCGCTCAGACGCGGCTGCTGCGCGAGGTGCCTCGTCGGCGCTTGCGCTTGACGCCATGTCTGAGGAGCAGGCTCGCGCGCTGACCTGCTGCATCTGTCTCGACGACATGGTGGGCATGGCGTTTGTGCCGTGCGGGCATGTCTGCTGTTGCATCGAGTGCGCCGCCACTGTTTCGGACTGTCCCATGTGTCGCACAGGTATCTCGTCGCGGCTCCAAGTCTATCTCAATTGAAGAGCCACCGACACCAGCCACCCCTCTCCCACCCAGCCACCACAACCCACCCAGCCACCACCAGCCACCACCACCCCTTCCCCCCCCTCCCCCCTCCCCCCCCCCCCCCTCCCCCCTCCCCCCCTCCTCTCTTCTACCATGGTGGTCCTCCGGGCCCTCAAAGCCCTCGACGCATACCCCAAAACCCTTCCAGACGCCAAGGCCCACTCCAAGACCGGCGGAGCACGTACGCACATACACACACACACACTCTCCTCCCCCCCCTTCCCCCCCACCCTACTCTACACCTCGACTCACCCTCGACATCGCCGCACGTGACAGTGACGCTTGTGGTGGTGGTCCTCACACTGTGGCTGTTCTCATCGGCGACGGTCGAGTACTTGTCTGGTACGACGGTGTACGACGCGGCGGTGGACACGGAGCGGACGGCCCATCAGCAGGTGGTCATCAACTTGGACATGACCATCGCCACCCGCTGCGAGTTCCTCTCAGCTGATGTGGTGGACGTGACTGGTGCACACGACGGCGATGGCATGCACGAGCTCCAGCACCAGCCAGTCAAGTGGGCTGTCGACGTGCCGTCGGCCGACAAGGTCGATTCGTTCTGGAAGACGCAAAAGTCGGCACTGCTCCAGCTGCACGACGTCATCCGCCTCGCTGGCATTCGCATGCCGCTGGCCGGCCTGCCTGTTGCAGCATCAGAGAAGGTTGGCGGAAAGCCGCCGTCGCTGGCTGAAATTGTCCGCAAGTCGGCAACCGGCCATGAGGCCGAGGGCGAGGCCCACAAGCTCCCGCTCGTGGCTATCGACAAGAAAAGCTCCAACTCGTCGCAGCTTGTCAAGCCCGACAGCAAGCCCACACCCGATGACATTGCCAACCTGCGGAGACAGGTCGACGGAAACGTCCTGCCCACCGCCCACGTCGACGCCTCGTTCAACGCTTGCCGGCTCTTTGGCCACCTCACCGTGTCCAAGGTCCGCGGCAACTTTCACATCACCGCCGGCCGCTCCATCGAGCGCGGCGGCGGACATGTCCACGACATGCACTCAGTTCCGGCCGGCGCCCTCAACTTTACTCACCGCATTCACCGGCTCTCCTTTGGCGAGAACTTTCCGGGCATTGTCGCGCCGGCCGATACGCTCGTCTACCACACCACCCACTCGCTACAGATGTACCAATACTTTGTCAAGGTGGTGCCCACGCTGTACAAGGCCTCGGCCGCTGACGTCGTCGACACCAACCAGTACTCGCTCACAGCCAACTCGCGTGCCATCGATCACTCGCGCGGGCAGCACGGCATGCCCGGCATCTTTTTCAACTACGAGTTTGAGCCTGTTCGTATCACCGTCTCGGAGACCTACTCCACTTTTCTCCACTTTATCACTCGGTGCTGCGCCATCATCGGCGGTGTCTACGCCGTCTCGGGCATGCTCGTCACCGCCATCAATGCCCTCCTCGACTCGGTGGCGGTCAAGCTCGGCCACCGCCGTGGCATCCTCAAGCTGTAGCCCGTAAAGTGGGCCTTTCGTGACTCACACGTTCTCTTTTGCCTCCTCGCGGGGCTTGGCCGCTCGACCGGGGACATGCCTCGCCCTCTTGGACGCGTGCGTCTCGCCAGCCGGCAGCGGCTTGTCGAGAACCACCACTCGCTCTTCAAACGTCTCCCATGCAGTCGTTCCGCGGCGGACAAGCGGGTTGCGCCACGGCGGCCGATGGTCCTTGGGGGGCGACGTCGGCAGAGGCGCGGAGCTCGGCGGCGGGACCAGATCCGGTGCCTGCGGCTGGACCGGCGAGTCGAACTGCCACAGCGGCGAGTTGAGGCCGAGTCGCGAACGAACAGCCTGGATGTACTCGGCCCGGTCAACCGGCTCTTCGCGACCTGGCGTCTGGGGCGGGTTCTGCGAGCCGAGCGGCGCCTTGTGGCGCGCCATCTGTCGCGAGTTGTCGTTGATGGCCGGCGTAAAGTCGAGCTGCGTCGCAGGGTCTTGAGGGGGTGGGTGGTACGGGACCTTGGACAGCACATATGCGGCAGGACCATACGTGTCCGGAGCAGAAAGGAACGTTTGCATGACTGTCTTGAACTGCAGCAGCGAGACGAGGCCAAGCGAGGCCTCTCCGACTTTGTACAGCCGCTGGAGCAGCGGATCAGCCACCGTCTTGGGGAACGGAAGTTGCGCGGGCTCGTGAAGCTCAGCAGTCCGGATGAATGACGAGGTTTCCATGGAGCCACCTGAGATGTCGACAAGCCGCTCAAAGGCACACGCTAGGATCTTGTCGGTCCGCTTGCGCGCCTTGACCCGCGACGCTGGGCGGACTTCGACCAGCTCCGGCTGCGGCGCGGTAACACGCCGTTTCGGGGTCTGGTACAGTCGCTCATGGACTGGACCTTTGGATGCTGCGATGGTCGCCGAGCTCTCGTTGATGAGCGGCTTAAAGTATGCCTGGCCGGTGACCTTGTCGCGGAGATCAAGCCCCTGTTCGAGCTGGAGCTGGTGGATGACCTGCTGCTTCGAGTGCGCGCCGGCTTGCGAGAGACGGGCGAAAAACGCCGGCCGGCTCTCATTTCGGGCCAGGAACTTATCAGCGCCGATGTCGGGGTGGTATGTGTGCGATTCTTCGAGCTGCTCGCGGAGCTCGTCGCGTGCCATTGACCGCCTTGCGCCATCCTCGTAGAGCTTGACAAACCGCGGGCCGTTGTCGGCCTTGCCGTCGGGCGACGCCGAGCGCGCCTTGAGCGGCGTCTTGTTGACGACAGGAGCAAATGTAAACTGTGCAAGCTCGGCCACCTGTAGCGCCTTGGCTCGCTCGGCGCGTGCCTTCTCGATCTCCTCGCGGTCGGCGTGCAGTCGCTCGAATGCGTTGGAGTGCCCGCCGCGGCCGCGGACCTTGCGCTCGTACAAGTCACGGGCGAGCGGTGTGATCTTTGGTTTGGCGCGCATGACGCTCGCTTCGCGCTCAGCCTTCTCAGCATCCCGCGCCGCACGAAGCTTGGCAATCTTGGCCTTGCGCGCCGCCGCCGCCTGGTACAACCGATCGACTACGGCGATGCCGCTGGAGCTGGCCCGCCGCCGACGCGGCACCGCTGAGCTTGACTCTGCGCGTGAGCTCGAGTGCACCGGTCCCTTTTGTGGTCCAGTGGGCGAGCCGCTGGCTTCGCGGGCGGCGGCTGTCTCGCTGCCGCCGTCGCCGCTCGATGCCTGCGCGCCCTTGGCGCGAGCGTAGAGACGATCAAAGACAGTAAACGCACCATCCGGATCTTTGCGCTTGCGGGCTTTGACCATAGCCCGCGAGCGGGCGTCGATGACTGGGTGGTGGGTGTCGCGAGCGTCGCGAGCGTCATTGTCCGCGGGAGGCCCGGCCTTGGCGGCGGCGCGGACGAGCCACGACGGAGTCGCCGGGGCCACCGGCGGGCGCGGGAGAGCCGAGTCGAGGACGTCGGCCAGATAACCGGCGAGTGGAGCAATGTGGTGCGAAGGCAGGGCGTGGTCGAGGCAAAACTGGGCAGCGAGGCGGGCGGTAGCGGAAGCACGCGTTCCTGTCGGCGTCTCGGCCAGCCGAGCCGGGAGGGTCAGCGGGACGCGGTTGCTGCCGTCGGCCTCGAGCGGGACGTGGAGCACGAGCAGGACGGGAGGCTCTTCAGCACTCTGCGTGGGACTTGCCATCCTGCTGCCACCCGACGTAATCACAATTGAGGAGGGAGGGCGGAGAAGAGGGAGGGGGGGGGGAGGGGAGGAGGGGAGCAGTGGAGCGTTGTGGTTGTGGCTGTGCTGGTAGACGTCGCGGTGCTGCCAGTCTGGTCGATCAGCTGCAACTGGCTGTTTTGGCGCCAACCGCCCCGCACCGTGCACCTGGACAATGCCCTGATTATTCGCTGGCGTACTATTCATCGTTCGCAAGCATACCATTCATCGTTCGCTGTCGCGGGGAAACCATTCAATGTTCGCATTCCATTAATCGTTCGTTTGGCCTGTCTTCGACCTGGCATGTTTGCTCGCTTGTTCGTTTTCCGGTTACCCCCCCCCCCC